CCTGTCTCTATTAATGTCTTTTTTTTATTTATTTAGTGGTCACTTCTCCTTAAACTCTTTGGTATGTGAATTTTCACCTTTTCTTTGTATCTCACATTGTTTTGTTATGTGCCATTTAGTTGGAACAGACTCACTGCTGACCCTTCAGTGGATTTTCAGAGGCTGTAAATTGCTTCTGAGTAGGTTCTCTGTCTTTCTCCCTTAGAGTATCTGGTGGTTTTAAACTGCCTAATTTTGATTTTCTTACTTGGATCCACAATCAATACACTTGGTGCCAGCAGTCAGGAGAGCAGGAGACATATTGCATTGGGAAAGTCTGTAGTGAGGAACTTCTCCAAATTATTGAGGAGCAATGATGTCAGTTTGAAGACTAAGGTGTGTCTGATTCAGACCATGGTCTTTTCAGTCACTTGCTATACATTTGAGAACTGGTCAATGGCTCAGGATGGAAGAATAATTGGCATCTCTGAACAGTGGTTTTAGAGAACAGTGCTGACGATTTTGTTGACTCAAAAAAAAAAAAAACACCAAACAGCTATGTCTTGGAGAAGGGGGCAAAGATGATGAAGTTTTATCTCACATACTTTGGGGATGCTGCTAGAAGAGGTTATTTCTTGGGCAGGAACATAATGCTTGGGAAGTTAGAGGGTGATGAAAGGGGAAGACTCTCGCTCGACAAGGTAGGTTGACACAATGACTTTAGCTATGAGGGTAGAGTGTGTCAGGAAGAGTAAGGATGGCACAGGACAGGACAATGTTCAGATTAGTGGTTCATAGCATTGCTATGAGTTGTACTCAACTTGATGACACCTAACAACCACCACCTTTGGTTTGGCAACTCTATCTCTAGGCCATTTTGAAAGCTAGCCAGTTTGTAAGAACCCTTCTTGCTTCAATCTCAGTGGGGTTTTCAATGGCTTCTTGCAGCTGTCACCAACATAGCCAAGATTCATCTGATTATATGGATCGTATGTCTACCTAGATGTTCACACCCTTCTTCAATGTAAAGTAACATATTTGTAGGATCTAGGGATTGAGAGAATCATTTTCCTTGGATCTACTTTTAGCATCCTTGGTACCAGCTGTCAGGAAATTAGGAGACATATTGCACTGGGAAAGTCTGCAGTCAGGGACCTCTCCAAATTATTGAGGAGTAATGATGTTAGTTTGAGGACTAAAGTACATCTATCTGATTTAGGCCATAGTCTTTCTAGTCACTTGCTCTACATCTGAGGGCTAGACAATTAATAAGGATGACAGAAGGAGAACTGATGTCTTTGAGCTGTGGTGTTGGAGAAGACCACTGAATACCCCATGGACTTCCAAAAGAACAAACAAATATGTCTTGGAGAAAGTGTGGTCAGAGTACTCTTTGGAGGCAAAGGAGATAAAGGTTAACCTCACATACTTGGAGCATGTTGCTAGGAGGAGCTATTCCTTGGAGAAGGACATGATGCTCAGAAAGGCAGAGAGTTGGCAAAGGAGATGAAGACTTTGACCAGGTGGATTGAGACAATGATTGCCACAATGGGCTGCAGTGTGTCAGGAAGTAGGAGAATGGCACAGGACAGGACAGGGTTCAGATATGTTGTTCATAGGGTCACTATGGGTCATATTCAATTTGACAGCACCTAACCATAACAACAACAACAGGGATGAGGAGAGGTGTCCCCACCCATGCAGCACTTCCTTTTCACTGGACAACCTAACTTGACACACTCCATGGCCACATATGGCCATATTTGGGCATTTCAGATTCGCTGTCTTAATTATCTTTGACTGAAAACCCTGCCGGCAACCATACCCTGGACTGACAAAGACACCAACCCTAACCAGGCTACTCTGACGCCAGCAGAAACTCTGCCCGAGGCTGGAAGCCCCAATCTTTGACACACCTGAACACACTCTAACCCAGAAGATGTGCTACCCATAATGTGGCTCACACCTTGGAATATTGGTCATCACACAGATATCAGAAACTCTGACATGACTGGGCACTCCATCTGCAGTCTTCTGCTGGGCTGGCAGGTACACTAATTCAGGCTAGACATTTTGTTTTATTTTCCCCATAGTGTGCATGTTTGTTTTATGATATTTGTACACTTGCTTGGTTTATAGTTTGCTCTTATGAGTACAGCACTTGCATGTCACTTTGTTTTATGGGAGGTGATTTGTGTGTTATTGTAGAGTTGCCTCTTTTATAGTTTCTGTATATATATACTTCCTCATTTACATTTTGCTCTTATATACACCATGGACTGCTAAGAGGGGGTGAAGCCATACTGCTCCTTGGAGATAAGGATTTTGAAGCTATGTCTGATATACTTTGGACATGTTCCAGGAGGGACCAGTCCTTGGAGAAGTACATTATGCTTGGGAGGGTGGAAGGACAGTACAAGAGAGGTGAGATGAAATGACTCAGAGACTGGGGTATTAGGGGTAGGTGTGTCAGAGACAATGAAACTGACTCAAGATAGAGCAGGATTCAGAGCTGTTTTACACAGGGTCACTAGGAGTTGCAAGCAAGTTGACAGCACATAACAACTTATGGGTACAGCACTTGTCTGTCAGTTTGCTGTACTGGAAGATTTGAGGGCTGCTGGAGGCTGTGCCACCAGTATTTGAAATACCAGCAGGTTCGCTGTTGATATACAAGTTTCATCACAACTTCCAGATTAAGTGAGATTAAGAAGCAGGATTGGCCATCCACTTCTGACATAACAGGTCTTTGAAAACCCTGTGAATAACAGAAAAATGGTGTTAGATATGGTACCGGAATAGATCCCCTCAGATTGGAAGACACTTGAAAAATAAGGAGACATGGCTGCATATATCCATTAATGATTGGAATGTGAATTGTATGAGCATATCAGAGATGATGAGGATGGAGCAGAACAGGTCAAGGTTCAGGTCTCTTGTTGGCAGTGCAGACAGGAGTCATAGTCAACTGGGGGACCATAACGACAGGGCCTAGGGTTCCTGGGTAGTGCAAACAACGCACTTAGCTACTGACCAAGGGGTTAAAGGTTCTTGTCCACTCAGAAACATCTCAGAAGGAAATGCTGGTGATCTCCATCTGTAAAATGAACTAAAATAACTCAAACTCACTGCCGGCAAGTCGGATCTGACTCATAGCTGACCCTCCATCAGAGGTTGTAAATTGTGTGAGAGAAGATTACTCACCTTCGTCCTTTGGAGCTGCTAGTGGATTCAAACCATTAGAGGTGACACCTTTTGGGCTAGTAATCAACTCTCTACAGACTGGGCCACCACAGTTCCCTTCTGGAAAATGAATCACTAAAAAGTCCTATGGAGCACAGTTTATGAAACAGATGTGGTCACAGTGAGCCAAAGACTGATGCAATTTCAACAGAAAAGGATTTTTACTTGGAGGGCGATAGTGTTTTCATTTAATATAGTAATATTGGTGCTATGAATTGAATTATGACCCCCTCCAAATATGGGTGGTAAATCTTAACTGCTATATCTGGGGTTATGGAATTTTGGAATAAGTTGTCTTTGTTACGTTAATGAGGTAACATTAATGTAGCATCTAATTTGAATTCCTTTCTTTGGAGATATAAAAGAGATTATCCTAGTGAACAGAGATGGGGTAAGTTTGGTGCCACGATGCAAGGAAATTGCCAAAGAACCTGGAAGCAGAAGCTGGAAAAATAAGGCCTTCCTCCAGAGCAGACAGAAAGAGCCACTTCCCCTGGAGCCAGTGCCCTGAATTCAGACAGGTAGCCCCCTAAAGTGTGAGAAGGGAGCTCGGGTAGCACAATATGTAGTTGAAGTTCAAACAAACTACTCAAAGGCTGCCTCTCTCTCTGTGTGTGTGTGTGTGTGTGTGTGTGTGCGTGCGTGTTTTAATATACCAATAGCTCCTTGGGAGAAATACAGGCTCCTTGGGAGAAATACAGGCTCCTTGGGAGAAATACAGACATTCTCCTCCTGTGCATTTTATTGTTGTTGTTTGGTGTCACCAGCAACCCTATGAACAACAGATCTGAACTTTGCCCTCTCCTGCCCCCTCCGCACTATCTCTGTCATCCTCACTATTTGGACCCTATTGTTGCAGCCATTATGTCATTCATCTCACTAAGGGTCTTCCTCTCTTTTGCTGATCGGCTGTCATTCCCAGCGTGAAGTGTTTTTCTAAGGACTGGTCCTTCCTGACCACCATACTAAAAGTATGTGAGATGAAGTTTTGTCATCTTTACCTTCAAGGATCGATTACCTTGGTTGTATTTCTTCCAGGTCATATTTGTTTGTTCTTTTGACAGTTTATAGTCTATTCAGTATTCTTTGCCATTCCCACATTGTGCCATTCCCAGCCTTGGAAAGCTGCTGGAGGGCTAGTTATGAATCAGTTCTGATTTGATGCCAATGCATTTTTATATGGTGAGAAAAATAAATTTCTGTTTGTTCAAGTTATTAATTTGTGATATTTGTTATAGCAGCATTAGGAAACTAAGACAATCAACCTTCCTTCTAAAGTATACTTCTTTTTCAGTAAAAACAGGTGATGGATTAAATGCAAATGTAAATTGTTTTGCCTATGGTACTGAGGCAGGAAAAAAAAATGATAAAGCAGCCAGATAATGAGAGATGATTGGGAAACTGAGGCTTTCATAAGAAAGTTTCCAAGGTCTGTCTCAAGTCTAGAGGCAGCTGGAGTTGGAAGAAATCATACTGTTTGCTATAAGGTTAGCCTCCCAGCATGTGACCGGACAACAGTCCTGTTGACATAACTCTGTTGATCAAAGCAGTCCCCTAACTGCCCCAGGCCAGTTCCTGTGCTCCTGGTGGAACTTAGCTCCACACTCACATCCAGTAAACATAAAAGGCCCGGTCCATGGGGAGCTACATCCTGGAAGGCGAGGCCAAAGACCACTCCTTTCTCTCCAGAGCTAGCCCAGGCGTTGTGGTGGTGGCATAGCCTACTCAGAAGACTCCAGCAATTTCAAGCAAAGGACCAGAGAACCAGTCTCAACGCCATGAGCCTGAGACCACGTCTGGAGAGCAGCTCAGGTAAGAAACTGCAGAGGGTGTCTCAGCCGAGCACAGAGAACAGCTGAGGGAAGCCAGGGAGGCGGACAGATACCTTCTTAGGGTGGCTGGGATCCTGGGTGGACTTCATTTATTTCCTGTGTTAACAATTTACTAGAACATAAGCCTCCATCTGAGCCTGTGCTGTCATTAAGAGCATGTAGTCAAGTGGGTAGAAATATGTGTTACTTGAATAACAAGAAACATTTTTTTTGAACACAGGATTTTGTTCAGATAGAACTGGGTTCAAATTGTGCTCTGCCATTGGCTTAATTGATTCAGTGGTTCATTCTTCTCCCATGTGCTGATCAGGGAAAGTACAACCATAAATATAGTAGAGACTTCCAGGGCCAGGCAGGGAGGGTGGCACCAGGCGGGGGGGGGGGATGCCCTCTGAGCTTGTGGGCAAGATGACATGGGAAAGGAGAGCGCTTCAGAGCCTCAGTGCCTGCATCTGTGAAAGGGGACAAGGGTCATCCTTTGGTTTGAGGAGCTTGGCATTGGGAGTGATTCCTACACTAGTAGCATTGGTATCACGGGGGAGAGTGTTGAAAATGCAGTTTCTCAGGCCCCCACTCTATACTCACTGTGTCAGAATCTACATTTTAACAAACTCTCCAGTTGGTTCATTTGCATAGTAGGCCGGGATCTGTCACCAAAGCATAGGTGACACAGCAAACTCTGAGCTAACTCCTGCAAGACAGATGGCTGATAAAGGGGGAAGGCAGGATTTGAACTCTGAACTCTCTGATATTGAAATGGACATTAAAAAAAATGGTGGCAAAAATATACATAAGGTCATCAAAACAACTTTTACATGTGTAGTATAGTTTGTTGTTATTGTGTACCTTCCAGCTGACCCTCACAGGTTTTCAGGGGCCGTAAATCACACTGGAGGAGATTCCCCATCTTTCTTCTGCAGAGCAGCTGTTGGATTTGAACTGAGTGCCTTTGCATTGGCAGAGAAATTCCTTACCACTAAGCCACCAGCACTCCCTTAATGTGTAGTAATTATAGCCATCTTACTATTTCATTTTTTCAAATGTGCATATATACCTACAAAGTTTTTATTAACATTGTTGTCTTTTTTCTTTTAGTGAAAATTTATAAATTACTGGCTTTTCGTTCAATCATCTACGTACATTTTGTCTCATAGCACCAATTAAAATTGATGAATCGAATGCTGGTTGACAATGTCTCATCAACTCCTGATTGTATATTGACTTCCCCTGCATGTTCTCTTTTTGCCAAGTCATTCTACTAACATGATCTCCCTGCCCCTTAGGCAAGCTCCCCCTTAACTCCTCTCTCTTCCATAGTGCTGTTGCTGTGTAGCATTGAGTCCAAACTCACTCTTAACTGAAACTCCAGGGGATTTTTGGAGGCTATAAATCATACGGGAGGAGACTGGCCATCTTTCTGTTTCAGAGCAGCTGGTGGGTTTGAACTGCCTGCCTTTGAGTTGGCAGTACAATGACTTACCTCTAAACTATTAGTGCTTCCTCTTTTCCATATCAGGTAACCTCTAATAACTTTGGTTTCTGTTTATCTACTTAGAGTTCAAATGAGCGAGATTGGGAAACACTTGTCCTTTTGTGACTGACTTATTTCCCTCAGCAAGATGTGTAAAAACTAGTTCCATGTAGTGGTGGCATCAGGAATTCCTTACTTTATGGCCCTTTACATGCCCCATCGTGTGGGCACATTGCATTGATCCATTCATCTACAGATAGCATTTCAGTTATACATATTGGTTTATTTACAAAGTTTGTATACATTGGTTTTCACACTGGATCTTTCCCATTTCTTTTACTCACCCCCTCCCTTCACCCATCAAATTGTAGGATCCTATGATTAACAACCTTGCCCACCCCATCCTCACCCCCCTCTTCTCCCACCTTCCCCCTCGCCTTGGATCCTCATACACATTCTACAATAATTGTCTTATACAATATTTGTCCTTACGGAACTGAGTTAGTTCACTTAGCATAATGCTCTCCAATCCCTCCCAAGTTAAGTAGTAATTTTCAAAATCATTGCTCCTGCCTACTGTGTAGTATTCCGTCGTGTGAAAGTACCATAATTTCTCAATCCATTTGATTGTGGTTGGGCAGTTTCCATGTTCTTGTGATGGTGAATAATGCTGCTATGAACACTGGTTTACAAGTCTTCAGTGGTGCCTCAGTCCTCATTTTCTCCCTGTGTTTGTGAACCTTCAGCACTCAGATAAACCCTGGTTGAATGACAGTACAATGTGTGAGTAAGTGTCGACACAAATCTCTGGTGTTGTTCTTGTTTCTAGGAGAGAAGCTGATCCGCCATCGGAAGGCCATCCCTACAGCTCACCTCACTTTCATTATCGACCTCACCTGTGGGAGACAGGTCTCCCTGGCAGCACCCCTGGTGCAACCTCAAGTCCCCAGGCACTATGAAGGCCCTGTCACCTCCCCAATGAAGACCCATGTCGTGTTCTGTGGGCAGGACTGGCCCCATAAGAGTCAAGAGGCTCCCTTTGGGAGGGAATGCCCTGCCCAGACTGGAGACACTTTGCCACTCAGCAGAGATATTAGGGGCTCAGCTTCCCGTCCAGTTAGCTCACTCTGCCCCCAGAAGGGACCCGAACCCACAGAGAGCCACTTAAAAGCCGTGCCCACAAGGTCTTCAGCATGGGGAACAGTCAAGGGCTCTCTCAAAGCCCTCTCCTCCTGCGTCTGTGGGCAGGTGGAGTAGCTGGGGAGGTCGAGCGTGGAGAAGGGACGGGCGTATCGGGGTCATCTGCCCAGGGACTGCAGGTCCCAGGCCTGAGCCTCTCCTCCAAGTGTGGCAGGCCCTTTAATGCCTGAGCTCAGGAAAGACCAACAGCTCGATTAAAGAAAGTCTGACACAGCCACCAAGTGCATATTCAGATGTCTTTCTTTCTCCTTCCTCATCCTCTTGCAGGGAAGAAAGGGGGGAGTAGGAATTCCTTGTGGAAAGAGATGAATTTATTCACATAAATATTAACATGCTAGACCCTGGGAAGATGAGGGGAAATGCTACAGTTTTCTCAAAAACCAGGGTTGGGGACGGTAAAGCTTAAACAGGTAGTCACAATAAATCAGGTATTCTTGAAAAAAGATAAGGGCTGTGAAGGGAATGAGACTTGGTGCTGGGAGGAGAGAGAGGTTGGGCTGGGAGCTTTTCCGATACAATGATTGGGAAGGTCTCTCTAAGTGGGTAACCATTAAAAGGCAGGTGAATCGTAATAGGAGGAGGCTGCCCGTTGTTGTCCGGAGTTGCTGCTGGAGCAAGCACCAGTGATGCTCAGACTTTCCGTTAGCTTGATAAGGGCCATGCTAGAGCAAGCATCAAAGCAGGCTTTAAAGGAGGAGGAGGAGGAGGAGGAGGAGGAGCCTGGCTTGCAAACACCTCCTGGCCCAGGGCCTGGCCCTGCGGGATTCCTGTGGCATCTTGGCTCAGATAAGAAAGTGTCAGTCACTATAAGGAGGATGTGGGACCCAGGGAGGGGAGATGCCAGCACCAGGTGGAGATGGGAGGCTCCCAGGATCCAGGTGGGATCCGGCAGGTAGAGGTGGGAAATAACTGGAACCTCTTCTCTCAGGATGGAGAGTCCAGAAAGAAAATGGAACATTGAATCAGAGCAAATAAATGAGAAATCTGGTGGCCTGGTGTAGAGGAAGCTGCCCCAAATTCACTAGGGGCTCCGAGGAAGAAAAATGGGTAATCTCCTCCCATGTGATCCATTGTTATGTATCTGTGATTCAGAACCGACCCACAGCTGACCCTCCAGTGGGTTTTCGGAGGCAGTAAATCACACGGGAGGAGAGTGCCCATCTTTCTCCCACGGAGCAGCTGGTGGATTCAAACCGCGTGCCTTTGAGCTTGCGGTGAAGCTCCTTAGCACCAAGGCACCAGACCTCCTCCCCCATGTATAACTACAGTCTCAGGAACTCAGCTCTGGAATTGGTTCTGACTTGACAGGAAATGAGTTCGTCTATTGACCAAGAAGCACAAGTGGCACAGTGACTAAGTGCCCAGCTGCTAACCAAAAGGTTGGTAGTTCAAGCCCAACAGCTATTCCACAGGAGAAAATGCCTGGCAACCTCTACTGTGAAGATGAACAACACATCCACCACCTTCACGCTCATTCGGACTTGCTGCCTCCCTCCATCCGGTTTCAAGGCTGTAAACCTTCACTGGAACAGCCTGCTTCATATTTCTCCCTTGGAGCAACTGGTGGAGGTAAGCTGCATGTTGGCTATCAGCTCAGCACATTGTCACTGGGGCTGTCAGGAAACTCTGTGAATAGATAGATCTGCCGCATGAATTGGACTCTATTCCTAAACTTACAGACACCAGAACTCCCTATAAATATTAATACTGACAGGTCTTGACTGTTCTCTGTCATGAAAATGGCATCCTCACGTGCCAGGGTAAGGAAAGCACTATTTTTTGTGCCCTTTCATGCATTGGAGACCTGAGGGACTAGTGGTTGAAGAACTCACTCAAGGCTTACAGATCGGTGCTGTTGGAATCGGAACCCGTACAAAGTTGGCTTCTGAGCTCTTCTAACTGGATACCATGCATCCTCCTGACCTGACAGGGCCTTTTCTAGAGAGGCAGAAGCAGTGAGAAGAAACATAACCTCCTTCTGACACTGATGGGAAGACAAGGAAGAAGACCCATGACTTTCGGTACGTGCAGCAATGAGAGCATCAGAGTGAGGCCGGGGCAAAGAGGAAGAGAGATACGATCAGGGAGGACTTCCTGCCGGAAGTGATGCTTAAACTGAGATATGGCCAGTGGGTGAGTCACGGTCACGTCAGGGTGGTAGGGGAGTATGTTCAAGGCAGAACCAGCATGTGGTGATGACACAGGAGCTCAAAACCTTTGGTCTAGCTATAATATTCATTCATTCATTCGCTAAGTTTTTACTGGACATCCACTGAATATCCCAAAAGAACTAACAAGTCTATCTTTTTAAAATTAATTTTAATGAAAGTTTACAGAAACTTTGGATTTCCATTCATTCATTGTTGCACTTTTCTCCATGCCCACCCCTTCCTCACCCAGTTCACTCTTCCCTTTGAAAAGTAAAAGAAAAATTCTTTCATTGTTATACAATCCCTCCCCTCAAGTCCACTCCACTACACAGCCTTCATTCTGGACTCCTGTCATGACAAAAATACCTAATCACATATCCCTTTTAAACAGTTCTCTCTGTCATCTGTTTCTAACAAGACTATCTTGGAGGAAGTGCCGCCAGGGTGCTCCTCAGAGGCAAGGATCATGAAATCACATCTCATGTGCTCTGGGCATGTTGTCAGAAGGAGCTAGTCCTTGGAGAGGGACATCATACTTGGAAAGGAGGAAAATCAGTGAAAGGGAGGAAGACCCTCAACCAGATGGGCTGACACAGTGACTGTAACAATGACTCAGACGTATCAGAGATGCCGAGGACGACATAGGATAAGGCCAGGTTCAGACCTGTTGTTCGTAGACTTGCTATGAGTTGTAAATGGCACCAAACACCACCACCACCACTGGGTGTCAAAGGTTCTCTGGTCATGCGATGGTTAAGTGCTTGGCTGCTGATCAGTTTGAACCCACTAACAGCTTCATTGGAGAAACATGTAGCCTTCTGCTTCCATAAAGGTTCTAGCCTTAGAAATCTGTGGGACAATTTATCCTACAGTCACTATGAGTTGGAATGGACCTCACGATAGTGAGTGCTGGGTCCTGGGTTAGACCCTGGGATGGAACAGTAAACTGGAAAGGAATGGCCCCATTCCAAACCCCTTCATCTCTAGCTGGGGGTGAAAGAAGGGAAGAGTTTAAAGGCTGATTGCGCATGAAGTTTAAAGTCTTCCATGTAGAGTCTGAGACACCCAAGGGGGGGGGATTGTGCCTGTGGCTGAATGTCCATATTTTCACCAGCAGTGGTCACCCCCTCATCAGACTGGGCAGCATATCATCTGTCCAGGTCTGGGGAGGGAGGGGTATTCCAGGATGCAACCAAGGTACTCCTTGCAGTCAAGGATGGTGAAACTTTGCTTTAATGCTTTGGACATGTTGTCAGAAAGGATGAGTCCTTGGAACAAACCATCATTCTGGAAAAAGTGGAGAGAAAGAGAGGAAGTCCCTCTGAGATTGACTGATGGAGTGGGTTAGAGTTCCAACAATGGGTTCACGCGTTGGGGAGATCATGAAAGTGGCACAGGATAGGGTAAGTTTCAGATCTGTTGTTCAGAGTTGCTAAGTCCTAGCCTACTCCATGGCATCTCACAACAACAAGGACAGAACTCTGTGGCTCAGAAGTCCATTGGGTTCTATGTCTTGAGAAATGTAACCAACCAAGTTCAATCTATCCAACATTCTCTTTGTCCTTAAAGAATCTTTATGTCAGACATCAAAGTAACGTTTCCTAACTTAACTGTGGGGATCCTGTTGAGCATTCGGTGGGATCAGACATACCCCTGCTCAGTAAAAAGGCAGGGGCCATGACTGTTGTTGTTGTTATTAACTGCACTTCAGATCGCATTAGTTCATCCCTCATGAGTCCTGTATGATATTTACTGCCATTTTACAAATGAGAAAAACAGGCAGGTATGGAGAAGTTAAATAATTTGCTCTAAGTCTTCAGAACAAAATCTTGAAAACTCTGCTGCCAAGGATCTCTCCAAAGTGCAAAAGAGCAATAATGTCAGTTTAAAGACTAAGGTGCCCCTGATCCAAGGTAGGGTATTGCCAATTGTTTTCTATGTATGTGAAGGTTATACAATGGATAAGGGTGACAGAAGAAGAATCAATGCCTTTGAATTATGGTTTTGGAGAAGAGTACTGACTATTCCACGGACTGACAAAAGAACTAAAAAGTCTATCTGGCAGGAAATGCAACCAGGGTGCTCCCAAGAGACAAGGATGGTGAAAGTTCAACTCACATACTTTGGACATGTTGTCAGGAAGAGCCAGTCCTTGAGAAAGGACATTGCTGGGAAAGGTGGAGGGTCAGCAAAAGAGAGGAAGACTCAGGGAGCTCTGGTGGCTTCGTGGCGAGAAGCTGCACTGCAACCCCAGAGAAACGCAGTTAGAATCCACCAGATGTTCTGCTGGAGAAGGAGAAGCAATCTCCTCCTGTACCAGTCAGATCTGATTTGATGGTACACATGCAGAAAATAATAAAAGAAATTTAAAAAAAAAAAAAGAGAGAGAAAGACTCAACGAGATTGAGTGGCAGGCAGTCAGTGACTGTAACCATGGGTTTGAACATATCGGAAATGATGAGGATGGTACAGGATCGAGCTGTTGTTCACAGGGTTACTGTGAGTCATAGTCTACTTGAAGACACCTAGCAATAACAAGTCAGAAAATGACTGATCTGACATCCCTCTCTGAGCAGTGTACCTGCCCACCTGGGTTCAAAATGCCTTTCTTCACTTTTGTTGAATGAGTAAATAAATGAATTATTTTTCCGAGGACTCAGCCTAGGACCTGGCAACACTTTCAGGTCTGCATACCTTTGAGAGAATGTATTTCTGTTGCTTGAACTCAAACTGATGGCAGTCACATCAGAACTGGCTCATAGCGGACTCCGTAGTTTTGAAGGCTGTAAATTGCATGGGAGGTGATTCGGAACCACCAGAGGGCGCCACCTTTGGGTTAGCAGCCCCACCTCCCACCTATGCCCAAAGCTGTTGCTTAAAGCCACCCAACAGGAGTTTCAAGCTGAG